TAATTAATTGTAGAAGATCAGCTGCCAGATGATCTCTTTTTGAGGTACAAAGTGGTTCCTTGAATGAATCAGAAGGGAAACAACTATGATAGGTTGAAGAATGGTATCCTGTACCTCACGATAACCTTTAAAAGTCAATTCACTGAGCCTTGAAGTCAGACTTAGAAAAGGGACCTAGCTCTTGAGGGAATGAGCAGAAGATAAATAAACCCAGAGAAAGAGAAACTATAAGCAATCACATAGAGCTAAGAAGCATAGGTAGAGAACCATGAAGAAAGGGTTTAAGCTCTGGGAGTAAAGTCTTGAGGTTGCATGGGTTGATAACATAAGCTATGGGAACAGAAATGGTGTTCCTGAACCTTCCCACCCTTCTGCCTCCTCTCCTGTTGCAGACCCCAAGGTGTTAATGTCTCTTCTAGCTCCCCTTTCTTCTGCTCCATGTTTCAGCTCCTCCCCCTAAGGAGTTGGGTTCCCCCTTCTAGTCTGTCATCTGGACTTGGTGAACTCTTTCTTTTTTTTCACTTGCAGCACTTTTGTTTTTCCTAACACAATGTTGTTGTTGATGAGATTGGACGTTACACTTTAAAGCTCTTAGAAAGACTGACATATTTTAGTTTTCTACTGTCATGTGAGAACATTAAGATAAAAAATCTCACATAAATTTCCCAGATGTAACTCAAGGTTGAATAATAATTCCATGACATGGGGAAAAAAAATCTGGTTCAAAAGGCTTGAATTAAATAAGTATTCCTGCTAGGATGATAGCAAAATATGATACTCATTTATGAACTCTTTCTTGTCAGCCTTAGGACAGAAAGTCTGGAATAGTAAACTCTTTTAGATAATGGAAATCTGACCTTTAGATATTCTATACAGATATGATACCTTATCAGACTAAACTGTCAAGTGGTGAGTGACAACCAACCAGAGATATTGCCATGTTGCTGGGTTAATTCTCTATATAGATTAACTCTTGGCCTTACTGGTCACACTTGAAGTGGTCTATATCAAGTTTAGACCAAAGATCTAAAAGTATGCTAAAATCACACAAAAGGAACAATTAACTTGAATGAGGTCAAGCCAGTAACAATTTAAAAATCTGAAAAGTGCTGATATTGGTCTAATATGAGATGTAAAATTTTGCACAGACAAATTCATTTTCTTTTTTCTAAAATTTATTTAATATTTTATTTTCCCCCAGTTACATGTAAAAACAATTTTTAACATTTGTTTTAAAACCTTTGAGTTCCAAATTCTCTTCCTCCCTCCCTTCCACCTCCATTGAGAAGGCAAGCAATTTGATATAGGTTATACATGTGGTCATGTAAAACATTACCATATTAGTCATGTTATGAAAGAAAACAGACTCCCCCCAAAAAAAAATTCTCAAGAAAAAATAAAGTTAAAAAGATACGCTTTAACCTGTATTTAGACACCATCAGTTCTTTCTCTGGGGATGGATAGCATTTTTCATGATAAGTCCTTTAGAGTTGTCTTAGATCATTGTATTGCTGAGAATAGCAAAGTCATTTGCAGCTAATAATCTTACAATATTGCTGTTACTTTGTACACAGTATATTTCACTTTGCATCAGCTCGTGTAAGTCTTTACAGGTTTTTCTGACAGCATCCTGCTCATCATTTCTTATAGCACAATAGCGTTCTATCACAATCGCATAACACAATTTCTTCAGCCATCCCCCAACTGATGGACGTCCCCTCAATTTCCAATTTTTTTTTTGCCACCAGAAAAGAGCTGCTATAAATATTTCTGTACATATAGATCCTTTTCGTTTTTGTTTTTTATTTCTTTTGGAATATAGAACTAGAAGTGATATTGCTAGTTCAAAGGGTATGCATGGTTTTATAGCCCTTTAGGCATAGTTCCAAATTGCTCTACAGGATGTTTGAATCAGTTCACAACTCTACCAACAATGCATTAATGTCTCATTCCCCACATCCTCTCTAACATTTGTCATTTTCCTTTTCTGTCCTATTAGATAATCTAATAGATATGAGGTAGTGCGTCAGAATTTTTTAATTTGTATTTCTCTAATCAATTGTGAGTTAGAGCATTTTTTCATATGGCTATAGATAGCTTTGATTACTTCACCTGAATACTGTTCATATCTTTCGATCATTAATCAGTTGGGGAATGTCTCTTTTATAAATTTGACTCAGTTCTTTATATGTTTGATCAATGAGGCCTTTATCAGAGAAACTTGCCTCAAATTTTTTTCATAGTTGCTATTGCTAACTGTATTTCCCTCCATCCTATTCCTCCCCACTCTTTATTCTATTTTCTCTCTCCTTTCACCCTGTCCCACCTCAAAAGTGTTTTGCTTCTGACTATCCCTTCCCTCAATCTACCCTCCTTTCTATCACCCCCCCAACCCTTATCCCCTTCCTCTCCTTCTTTCTTGTAGGATAAGATAGATTTCTATATCCAATTGAGTGTATGCTATTCCCTCTTTGAGCCAATTCTGATGAGATTAAGATTCACTCCCTCCCTCCTCACGTCTCTTCTTTTCCACTGTAAAAACTTTTTCTTGCCTTTTTTAAAAAATGTGGGTAATTTACCTCGTTCTACCTCTCTCTTTCCCTTTCTTCCAGTACATTCTCCTCTCGCTCCTTAATTTTATTTTTTAGGTATCATCCCTTCATATTCAACTCATACCTGTGTCCTCTGTTTATATATACTCTTTCTAACTGCCCTAATAATGAGAAAGTTCTTATGAGTTATAAATATCATTTTCCAATGTAGGAATGTAAACAGTTTAACTTATTAAGTCCCTTATGGTTTCTCTTTACTGTCTACTTTTTGTGCTTCTCTTGAGTCTTGCATTGGAAAGTCAAATTTTCTATTCACCTCTGGTCTTTTCATCAAGAATGCTTGAAAAATGCTTTATTTCATTGCATGTCAATTTTCACCCAGAAGGATTATACTCAGTTTTGCTGGGTAAGTAATTCTTGGTTTTAATCCTAGCTCCTTTGCCATCCAGAAAATCATATTACAAGCCCTCTGATCCTTTAATGTAGAATCTGCTAAATCTTGTGTTATCTTGACTGTGGCTCCATGATACTTGAATTGTTTCTTTCTGACTACTTGCAATATTTTCTCCTCTGGAATTTGGATATAATATTTCTAGGAGTTTTCTTTTCATCTTTATTTTGATCATAACTTTCAGGTAGTCCAATAAGTCTTAAATTATCTCTTTGGAATTCCCCACTTAGGGGAAATTGAATTTGGGTCGTGTTCTTTTGGCATATGATCCTTTACTTAGGGACTCTGTGCAAGTCACAAAATACTCTTCTCAGCTCTAACAGCAGTCAACTCATGTAGAGCAAACTTTTGTTAACAACTATCACATCCTGAGGTTTCAGGATAGATTGGAGCTCCAATGGACTGTGTCAAAGAAAACATGAATATGGGACACTACATTTTAGGCACAATTCTGTCAGGAACAATTTCACTTCATTTAACATATCCAATTAGCATGAACAATGATTCTCATGCAGTGGTGTTATTCAAATTTCCATTGCATATTTCCATTGGATGATCATATCTTATATAATTATGACTTCAAATAATGCAAATTTGAATATATACAACCACATTAGGGGATTCATGATTTATACTAAGTGGGTCCTACTTCCATATCCATGCCATTTGTACCTTAGAAAAAGAGAGCTGTCCAAACTAGCACAGTTCCCCTCCCACTCTTCTCTTTGCCCTGTTGTACTTAGACAGGACTTTGTCCCAAGATGATTTGAGATAACATTTGTAGGAATCTTGAACAAGGAAAGGATCCTAACACTGTTTGTGGTTAACATTACAAGATAATAATGATCATTCCCAAAATGTAATCTTCTGGAGCAATTAAAGTGACCTCTTCCTTGAGATCAAGATCTTAATCCTTTCTCAGTGGAAAAGGGTCGGTCATAGTGCCAGTCTTTTCAAGGGTTAGAAAGGGTGACATTGTCCTTAGATGGGGCTTTGTTCTAAGATTTTGTTATTTTTAATTTTATTTTTAATTTTAATTTTAGTTATTATTAATATGCTTCCACATTACTTAGTGCCATCTGGAGGCTGATTACTTCTTGATATCTCCAACTGCCCTTCAATAAATCCTGTGTTTATGAACCAACCATGAGTTTTCTCTATAGCATCAGGACATGGAAAATCCTTTGAACTTAGGATCAGAATATCCTCCAGAAATATATCTGGCAGGCCTTAATATAATAATATACCTTGTTAACATCAAGATATATTGTAGGAACAGAATTCTCTTGACTTACCAGTTTAGTTATTCTATAAAAAAGAAAATGAAGTAAGCTTAGCAAATGCCCAGGATCACACAGCTAGTAAGTGTCAGAAGTTGGCTATGAATTCCAGTCTTCCTGACTCCAGGTCCAGCTCTCTATACACTGCCTGACTTATAATGGCTTACTCTTTGCATCGGTTGGTATAATTTAGCTTGTAAAAAAGATATGTGCTTTTAAATTGTCTAAAAGTAGGCATAGATTGCATCTATTCACAGAATAGCAACAACAATAATAAATAGCTAACATATGATACTCAAAGATTAGCAAAGTATTTTACATATGTTATCTTAACAACATTATTAGAAGTGAACATAGGTGAAAAGGCTAGTCAGGGTTGGAATGTTGTTCGTTACCAAAGAGCTGAGAAAAGCTAAATGTGGCATAAAGGAAACCATAACTGTGATCTTGACCTCAGTAACCCTTGACTTTAATCAGCTGAAGAAACCACAGGCAAAGAATAAGAATATAACAGAACTGAGAATAGAGAACTGAAAGAACAAACAAAATGGAGTGGAAAATAACTTAGTAGAATTGAGTAGAGCAAACATTGATTATTATGAGCAGAAGAGAGTAGAACATTAACATAGACATAGAGTAGTAAAGCAGAAGAGGAAAAAAGACGAGAGTATTGGGAAAAAGTAGAAATTAGACAAATTTTTCATGTGAAGTGTTCAATTATGTTTTAATGTCTTGACAGGTAATGGGCTATGAGACAATTCAACAGCAGTTCCCAAGACTTCATTTTGTTGGGATTCTCAGATTGGCCCCATCTGGAACTTCTCCTCTTTGTGGTCATCTTGATCTTTTACCTTTTAGCCTTCGTTGGCAACACAGCCATCATTGTCTTGTCTCATTTGTTCCCTCAGCTCCACACCCCCATGTATTTCTTTCTCTGTCACCTCTCTTTCTTAGACCTTTGCTATACAACTAGCACAGTCCCTCAACTGCTGGTTAGCCTGCATGGATCTTACAGAACCATCACTTATGTAGGTTGTGTGGCTCAACTCTTTATTACTCTTGCCCTAGGTTCTGCAGAGTGTATTCTTCTAGTTGTGATGGCTTTTGACCGCTACGCTGCTGTTTGCCAGCCCCTCCAGTACACTACCATCATGCAACCTTGGCCCTGCTGCCTGCTTGCTACTATCTCCTGGTTTGGAGGTTTTGTCAACTCAGTGGCACAGACAGGGCTTATGATAACTATTCCTCTCTGTGGCCTACACTATCTGAACCATTTTTTCTGTGAGATGCCTGTACTCTTAAAGCTAGCATGTAAGGACACAGAACAGACAGAAGCCAAGATGTTTGTAGCCCGAGCCATCATCTTGGTGCTACCTGCTTCACTCATCTTGGGCTCCTATGTGTACATAGTACAGGCAGTACTAAATATTAAGTCAGCAGCAGGGCAAAGAAAGGCATTTGAGACATGTGGGTCTCATCTCATGGTGGTCTCTCTCTTCTATGGATCTGCCATTTATACTTACCTCCAACCTACTCATAGGTACTCTGCAAGCCATGGGAAGTTTGCTGCTCTCTTTTATACTATTATGACTCCAATGCTCAACCCTTTTATTTATACCTTGAGGAACAAGGATATGAAGGCAGCTTTGAGGAAGGTAATAAAGAAAGATAGAGCCTTGGGGAAGCAATGAAGAACTTCCACTCTAAGTGATAGAAATTTCAAAGAAAATTGACAAAGCTGAGTATTAACAAATCCAAAGATCATTTGAATAATATTACAGAGCCTGGCATTCAAGGCCCTCTGGTTCCAACTTAATTTTCCAGCATCATCTCATTTTACTCCTCTGTCATGTGCTCTGTGTTCTGATCAAATGCAACTGCTAGCTGTTTCCTAGTCTTGTTTTGTGTTCTCTAGCTTCCAAGAAGTTCTATAGAGTAACTATGTTCCATGTCTGAAAAGCACTTATTCCTCTTCTCTTAGTGGTTTAAATCCTTCTCTTCCTTCAAGGCCTAGTTTAGTTTCCATTTCCCTCATGAACTTTTCTTTTATACTTTGTCTCTATTCTTTCATCCTTGGCTACCTTTCTTATGTTGATCTGCTTGGAATAGGGAGGAATAGCCTAGGAAAGAAGACAAAGATTAGATAAGAAAACGCAAGCAGGCAAAAACAAAAGGACAGGAAATGCTATTTGTTTTTAAGTATTCAGATGAAATGCTGATGTAGCTCAGAGCAGCCTAAAGAAACAAATGTAAAATCTAAAACCAAAAGGATCTGGAATCTAGAAATTAAAGGACTAGTTTATTTGGTGTAAAAGAAATAGTTACTCAATATGTAAGTAAGTAAATGAATAGGTCAATGGGGTGACAGAATTGGAAGAGATAAAAAAAGAAAGAGAAGTAAAGAGATGATTATTAAGAATGAAAAGAAAGGTGGTAAGAAAATGGAAGAGGCATGAAGTATAGACGGTACAAACTTAGAGGGGGAAATGAGTGAAGATGATAAAAGGCAAATATAGTCAAGGCAGAAAAGAAAATCAGTAACCTTGGAAAGAATAATAATGAAAAAGAATGACATGGCAAAATTAAAGGGAGAAAAGGAGGAAAGAATTGCTAAAGCTTGGGAAGAGAGGAAAAAGATTTTTGAATAACTTTACTAGTTGTTTTATATTCATGAGTTGTGGAAGGCTAGGTAGCCAGGGAAGGGAAAAGTAGTGATCAGCTAAGAGTTATCCATTTAAATGAATACTGCTAATTATATACTTACTTTATTCAGAGAGCTATTAGGCACTAGGATGATTGTGGTGAGGGAAAGAAAAATAAGACAGACAGAGGAAAAGGGCTTTAAGGACAAAGAGAAAGAAAAAGACGAAGGAAAAAAGGTAGACAAGAGGAAGAGTAATGACTGTAACCCCTGTCCCAAAGCCCATTGGCATGGGACTTTTTACTTACCAGAGGAAATGAATGTCCTGCCCTACATGGAGGATGGAGTGGAGTTGATGAGACTGGGAGAGTTCCAGCCTTCTTCAATGCCCTTCAAGACTCTTCAAGTTTCAATTTTTTTTTTTCAAGAGTTTTCAAGTGCAAGTTGCATTAGGTGCTTCTAGCTTTCAGCTTTGAGAGAGAAGATGGAAGAAGCAGCTGGCCCTTTGGGTGAGAGCTGGGTTGTGATGAGTTTTCTCTCTCCCAATGGGAAGGCTCCTTCACTCTGTATTGTCTGGTATATATTCTCCCATGTATATCTAGAAATAACAATATCTTGCAAAAATAAGTTAATAGAAATTAAATTTCCATGGATGGAATTCCCATATAAGGAAAGCATCTCATGTGTAGTGAGGCCTACCTGTGTCAGGGGCTTATTGTTGTACAGTGAGGCTTGAAAGGAGGAATAACAGATATCTCTAGCCTCTTCTCCCTGTCCCTCCTCTCTCTCCACTACCTCTCTAAGAAAGAGTTTCTGAAAGGGAAGTAGGAAGTAGGAAGCTTAGAGGCTATTCTGATTTTCTCAGAGTGAGGGTATACTGGGTGAGAATTATATTTATCTGCTCTCTTAAATACCATTAGTACAGAGGATATGATCATGTCCAATCTAACTTCTGATCATTTTATTATTATTATTATTATTAAGGACAAGGAAGACCCCAAGTTTTATATCCAAGGCTATACCCCTTTCCTACCAAATACCGGTTCCACAATGAACATACTTACTGAATAGCAAAAAAAACCCCATTTGTCCAAATCAGTAGCAAAACAAATCAGAAAAGGTATATGTAAGGGAATATATATCAGACAATACAGAGTGAAGAAACTTTCCCATTTGGAGCAAGATTATTCAGCTTAACTGAAAGAGAATTATAGGTCTCTCTCAAGATCACTCATTCCTTGAGATGACTGCTGTAGCTAGCTGGAAATAGCGACATGATGGAGATCATCAACTTCTCTTGCGTTTTCCCAGAATCCTTTTCTTCAGCTACTTGAAGTGGGATTGATCTCTTCTATCTTCCCTATCAAAGATGTAAGTCAGAAGCGCCCAAAGTGACTCATGCTTGGAGATCCCCAAAGAAAACTTGAAACTTGGTGAATCCTTAAGGGCACCGAAGAAGGCTGGAGCTCTCCCCCTCTCATCAGCTCTGCATCTCCCCTCATATAGGGCAGGACATTCGAAGGTTGAGAAACAAGTGAAGAAAACAGAAAAGGATACACACACATATGTACACACAGACATATATGTATGTATCTATAATACATATAATGGTGTATATATACCTACAATGGTAATGTAATATAACATTATATTATATATACATATATACATACATACATACACACACACACACACACACACATATATATATATACATACATATAATGGTTATAAGACAATTAGGAAAAAGGTAGAGAGAAAGAAGGGCAAAGATTAAATAATTTTAAAAGATGAGAGAAATAAAAAGGAAAATGAGAAATAAAAAAGGAGAAAATTATTAAAAGCTGAATAGGAGTGCAAAGAAAAAAGGTTAATAAAAAAGAGAAAGAAGGGAAAAAAAGTGGAGGAAGAATACAAACCATTGAGTATAATATAATGTTAGACAACAATAGAGAAAAAGAAAAGAGAAGAAAAAATAAAGAGATGAAGAGCAGAAAAAGAAGGAGAAAGATGTAACTCAGGTGCTAGAGAAAAGATAGTATTCATCATCAGAATAAAACCTAGATTTAGGGACTACTGTGAGGACTACTTTTTGTGGGACTACCATACTGCCTTATAGACAAAGCTATTACTTTAAATGTTTTAAAAAAAATTAAATGTGATCTTTTATTCCCCCAATGTTGAGTTGTTCCCCAAATCTCCATTTTGGGAGATGGCCCCATACCAACTATTCTTCATCCATGGGGTTTAACCTTCTTGCTCTTGCCTGGATGCCTCCCCCTGACCCCTACCCTCGCTGCTTTTTGGCTCCCATTTCATTCGTTATTTTCCCTCCTTAGAATGTAAACTTCTGGAGGGCAGGGACTATCTTTCTTTTTGTTTAAATTTATGTCTTCAACATTTAGCATCATGTGTGGCACATAGTGCCACATAAATGCTTTTTGACCGACATTTCAATTTTTTCCATGAGTGGGGAAAAAAATCTTTAAAAAATTCCATTAGATGAAATTTGTTTCACTGTGGAAAATTCCCTAGCAGATGCTGAAAATATTAGCATGTAGATAGATTCCCAAAGTCATGGACAAACAACTTTTACTACAGCCCCAGAAGAGAGTTGGGGCAAACAAGGTAATAAATTTAAGAAGGAAACAGGAACCCTGTATTCCCAGCTCATGCCTAATTCTCCTTCGTTGAGGAACAGACATATGGTGTGACATTTCTACTACCTAAGTTAGATAATACAAACTATGCAATTATTTTGGAAATGAAGATTTTAACTTAAAAACAAGTTGTAGTCAAAAAGTACTATACCAAGAGTCAAGGAATCTGGATTCTAGTTCTAGTTTTGCTGCAGATTACCTATGTGACCCAAGGCGAATTATTTTACCTTTCTGGGCCCTATTTTCCTCAAATGTTTAAAAAAAAAAGACCTGAGGGGTCACCTAAAACCTCTAAGAAGAAGTTTTTATTCAGATTCCTCTTTATTCATGTCTCTTGAGGAGAGAGCAAAGTGTGGACTGTGCTGTCAAAAGTAAGATCACCATCTAGCGGTATTTTTTGCAAACTGCACACACAAAATCTTGGCACCAGGAACTGCCTAAGAAAAAAAGTTATGATTAGGTAAATAAACTCAGAAATACACAGCCTTAAGAGTGGGAAGGGAACTTAGAGATAATCTGGGATATCATAGCTACTACAGGGAAATATAAAATTAATCCTTGTACACAAAAGATCAGAAAAATTAGACCAAACAGGAAAAAATTAACTAAACCAAACACAGAGAAGAGAAAGATCAGAGTATGTGCACATAGTGGTGGTTGATGGTCTTGGAAATTGAGGTCATAGGGAAATTAGAGGAGAGAGAGAGAGAAAGAGAGAGAATATGAAATCAAAGAAAATGAAGGAAAAGGGGGAAAAGGAAGAAGAGGGAAAGGCAAAAAAAGAAATAAAGAAAATAGTTTAAGTGGTAATGTGTAAGGGGAGGGAGGAGAAATACTACAAGATTAAAAAAAAGAGAAAAGAGGCCCCTCTCTTTTTGTAAAAAAAATTCTGTATAGAAAGAAATAAAAGTAACAACACAGGAAGGAAAATGAAACCAAAAGATACACCAAATGTAGGGAGGAGAGCAAAACAGAAGGGAAGACAAAACAAGTAGAAAGAAAAAAATGAAACAAAACAGAGACTATTGTGTATGCTCTGACCTCTTCCTTCAGAGCTAGATAGGCTCCATCACCTAGGTTCTAGAGTACCTGAAGGAATAGGAGTGTCTCTTCTTTCTGTCATCAAATTGATCCCCACTGGCATTTTTTCTTATTTCTTAGGAGGCCAGTGACTAGCATCCCAATTCTATTTAAACTCTTCAACACTTCAAAGACAGAGCAAGACATTTTATATATATATATGTATATATATATACATATATATGTATATATTTATGCATATATATGTATATATATACACACACACACGTACATACATATACATGTATATATATATGTATATAAACACTGTATAGCAACACACACACAAGATAGAGCAATATGCATTAACATTACATTAACATTTCCCCCAACATTTTGGGGGCATAGTTCCCCCTCCCCCCATCACCTTGGTCTTTGGGGAGGATTAAACTCTCAACAACTCATTTCCTACATAGCATTAGTTCTGTCAGGTCATATCCAGCTATAATATGACTTCTGAGTCATCCACTAGGCTGGAGTCATGTTGAAGACAAAGAACAGTGTAAGTAAGGGGTCATAAGGCAGAGGGAAAGTTAGAATGATAAAATATTATGATCAGATAAAGACATTTTAGAGTTCATATACATGGAAGTAGAAAAGAAAATTCAGAATGGCTGAACAAATTGTGGTATATGAATGTAATGGAATGCTATTGTGCTATAAGAAATGATGAGCAGGTGGATTTCAGAAAAACCTGGAAGGACTTGTATGGTCTGATGCTGAGTGAAGTGAACAGAACCAGGAGAACATTGTATACAGTAACAGCCACATTGTGTGATGACTGACTCTGATAGACTTAGCTCTTCTCAGCAATACAAGGATCTAAGACAACTCCAAAAGACTCATGATGGAAAATGCTATCCTCATCCAGAGAAAGAATTATGAAGTCTGAATGCAAATGGAAGCATACTATTTGCTTTCTCTTTTTGTTTTTGTTTCTTCTTTCTCATGGTTCCTCCTACTTATTCTAATTCTTCTTTACAACATGACTAATATGAAAATATGTTTAATAAGAATGTATATGTAGAGCCTATATCAGATTGCATATTGTCTTGGGGAGGGGGGAGGAGAGGGAAGGGTAGAAAACTTAAAACTCAAAAGCTTGTGGAAGTGAATGTTGAAAACTAAAAATAAATAAGTTAATTAAAAATAATAAAAGAAAATTCTGTCAAAATAGTTATAGAATATATAAAATATATGGGAATCCAACTTCCATGACTCACAAAGCAATTATAAGACTATAACTACAAAATATTCTTTATAGAAATGCAGACTTAAATAATTAGAGAAATATTAATTGTTAATAGTTGTATAGTGTCTGTCAATAAGATACAAATGACAATACTATCTAAATTAATGTACATATTCAGTGCCATGCCAATCAAATTTATCAAAAGGTTGCTTTATAGAAGCAGGAAAAATAATAACAAAGTTTACCTGTAGAGTCCAAAGAACAAGATTCTCAAAGGAAACATGAAAAAGAGG